TTATTAATAATAGTTCCTGTAAAAATTTCACTGGCATTATTAATTAAAGATGTGTATTAAAAAATACTTAAATTAAATTTTTGGGCAAAAATTATATTGGATAAGATGATTTAAATCTTGAGTATGTTTAGTATAAGTAGGCAGTACTAGTCCATACTGCGTTACACAGAACCATGTGTTTAAACAAATGAAAAACATGCGATGTAGTCATTTTATCAGAAAATACCTTACTAAATTTTGATAAATATTCACATCCTACAATTTATTCAGTGATGAAGGATGGCAGCTGATTTCTGCTTGATTGTGACATGTTATGCCTACTTCTTACAAAATGTGAATGAAGAATATCTGATATATATATATATAATTCAAAATATGTGTAGTAAGAAAAATTCATTTTTTTTAATTCTTATAGAGAAAGTTAAATAATAATTAACTGTTATAAGTATAAAGTTGTATCTTTATGCTTACAGATGATGGTCTTTTATAAAACTCAGGAAAACAATAATTTGAACTAGACTTCAGTGTTTAAAAATTAGTGCTATTATGTTTATAGAAGATGTAACTAGACGCCAAGATTGTTACTGGGGGAAGAACTGCCGAACACAGAAACACAATGCTTCACATGCTCAGTGAGTGGAAATTTTTTGTTGTTGTTTTTTAAGTAGGCAAATAGAAAAATTTGTAGAAGAGCTATTATAGTTGGTTATAGCTAATATGATATGTTTCTCAAAGATAGTATATCGTACAAATGAATTTCTTAAGCTAAGATTTACTACATGGCCTGGTGGTTAGGACACTTGACTCGCAATTTGTGGATTGCAGGTACGAATCCCTGTCAGCAAACATGCTTGCCCTTTCAGCTGTGGGAATGTTATAATGTGATGGTCAGTTCTGCTATTCATTGGTAAAAGAGTTGGCAGTGGGTGGTGTTGACTAGTTGCCTTCCCTCTAGTCTATCACTGCTAAATTAGGGACAGCTAATGCAGATAGCCCTTAAGTAGCTTTGCACAAAATTAAAAACAAAATCCATCATAACTTTGTCATTGGAAATTAGAAATCCAGGTAAGCATTAAGTTATATCCAGAGACTTCTGAAGACAAAATTATTATTTCTGGGTTTTTCTTGTTATTACTAATCATATTATGAATTTTTAACCTATATTAGAGCAAAGTTGTTTTATGTAGCTAAATCTTTCATAAGTTACATAAGTTGTCATTTTGTGTTGTTTTAGACGATTCAACCACATCTGTGAACAAACAAGGCTTACTTGAAAATATTACAAGTGGTAACTGCACCCTTCATTTTTACTTCAGTAAGTACATTTGAATTTCTTTTGAAAGTAAATTCATTTTGAAAATATAGATGGCCTTAAATTAAATATTAGAAAGAACTATGTTTTTAAAATTCACACAAGTTTTATTGGTTGTACATATAAAACTTTTGTTTATTTTATTCACAAAGTTTCACTGGGTTTATGTTTAGCTGGCACCATCAGGTGGCATACAATAACTCAGGCTAACAGAATTTAATTTAACAAAGAATCATGTGAGAACCTATAACAATAGTAATCTTCAAGAATATGACTAAGCAATTGCAACAATAAAGTAATTTATTAATGAACTATTGGACTTAGGTATAATAAATAAAACATTTAGACCTGAGTCTAAGCATTGAAATTTGTTCTATATATAAGAGAGAATGGAATTAAAATAGATATAAATGAACACCTTTATATTTCTTAAGAATAGGATTATGTTTTACTAATCGGTCTTCTTTTATTTTTTTCTGTTAATATTGTCTTCTCTGCTGAGGACTTTTACCTGAGAAGAATCAAAATAATAATATTTCCTAGACAAGTGTTCAAAAATATGAGATGGAGATTTTAAATGTTCCTTCAGGCGAATAGAAAATTGTCTGTTTGTCGCACCAGTAAAACAACTTTTGCAATCTATACATTCAATTGTATACACATTTTCTGAAGTATAATTAACCATATACTTTTTGGATAGCAGTTGGCCTAGCTTCTTTCCAGTTAAAAACCAGATTTTTTTTATTACTACTGTTATAGATTCTTAAATAATTCTTTATTAAATTAAATTCTGTTAGCCTCAAATCTTGTATCCCACCTAATGATGCCAGGTATACCTTGTGAGATGTTGTGAATAAAATAAACGTTTTACTATGTATGACCAATAAAAATTTGTGTAAAGTTGTCCTTAAATTGTTTTAACAGTTATGTTATAGTGTAGTTTGCTCACATAATTCTTTTCATATTTTTCAACAACAGTGATGTATCTCTAAAGCCAAAACAAACATTTATAAGCATAATAAAATACTTGCTGATAAAAAGACGGAAAAACTAGTCAACTAATTTTGGCAATAGCTATTACAATTATCATTACCTTTATAAATGTTGATTGTTTTGGTTTTAAAGATAAACAGTATAATGTGCTTTAAAATAAGCTATAAGAAGGTAAGATATTTTTGAAAATAGAAAGTGCTTTTTAATTTGCTTAGCACACCCTTAAATTACTGTCTTCTACAAACTAAAATATTTTACATTTATTCAGAGGGTTCTGTAGAATGTATTAAATTTCAACTGAATTATCTGTAGAATTTTTGTAATGTGAATGCCTTTAACAAGCTTACAAGGCATGATTATAATTTTACTTGACATTAGTCACTGCAGTGTTTGTTGTATCCTAGCTGGCCTGAAGAGCTTTGGATTGAGCAAAACACTTTATCGGTAATGTATATAGCAAATATAGTGTGGTTGAAATAATATTATTATACACTCTTATAATTCTTGAAGGTCCCTAAGGGACTAGATAAAAAATGTACTGTGTAAAAATAAAATGGACCCAATACTAATGTTTTATGAAAAATTTGTTTTTAGAATTTAGTTAGTGATTCAACCTTTATAGGAGGGAACTCCCCTACTCCCCCAGAGTTGAACAAATCTTGAAATAAAGTTGATTATGTGTTAATAAAATGGTAATAAACTATTGTGTTTTTAACAGCTATATCTGAACTTATTGTCTGGGTGTTAATAAGAAAGGTATATAGATCTTCGATTGCAATTTGGATTTTACTATCGATTATGAATCTGTTAATGCTTAATACAATTAAAAGAAGTCATGAATATGTACTAAAGAATATTGACAACATTATTTGTCTTTGTAATATATTTTTCTTTTTTCAGTTTATGTATTTTCAATATTGTTCTATTATGGGCTTTTAACTATATTTTTATGTGATTGACATATGACTGACAGACTTGTTGAGATGTATGAAATTTGTTCAAGATATATACATGTTAAATTGTAACAACTAATTTGCTGAGTGTTTCAAATTGTAATGGAACTTTGTAAATATTCATCTCTGGGTGAAGCTGATTTGGTTGATAATATTCCTTCATTCCTATTATAGCTTCAGGAAGCCCTTTTTTCCATATTCATTTTCTTCTCTTTACTGTTGTACTATTTCCCATGCCCAATGCCAAACACACTATTGTTAAGTTACCTTGGTTATTGTAGTTATGGTTTTAAATGTAATAAACCATTTGTGAAGCTGCTCCAACTGAATACAACTTGGTAAATTGTTATTATGATCCATGCAGATGCATGCTACCTGTTTATTTTATATACCGTATCAAAGTCCCCAAGCTGCAGGCATTAAAGCCCGTATGTTAATCTAACCCATTGTAATGTTCAAAAGAAGATCAGTTGATATTTTTAATGCATGTATAATAAGAAAAAAAGCACATTAAAAGTTCAGTTTGCACATTAAAGTATAAAACCAACTTGATTTTAAAAAATATTGACAGTAATTCATAGGCAGTACAAATCTTTTGGCACACATTTCAGCTGAGATTGGAGTTATAAATATATGTTCAGTACATTTACAGGAAAAAAGTTGGCATGTGGATAGCACATAATATTAAATGGCTGAGTGACACAAGATAAGTCAAAAGTAGTATTGTAAAGTTTTATATCCATAGTTAGACAACTGTTTCAATGTCTGTTGTGAATAATACAATATAATTCAAAAGTTGGTTTGTCATTTTTTTAAATAGTTCATTTTTTCATGTTTTTTATTTATTTATTTAATCGATAAGTAACTATAACTATGTTAAACCAAACATAGAATAATTATTAAATACATAATTACACATTTTTATTTTAAATAGCTTTATACTTGAGGTAGACCAATCATCAAAGTTCAATATATTTAAAATCACTGGAGCTAAATAAAAAAAAAAACTTAGAACTCAAAATCAAAGTGCTTTTTGGACAATAATACATATTTGTATGATGAAACAAATATAAACTATCTCTAGAGGGGATTAACAAGTTCATTTCAGGATTAAATATTATAATATCTCTTGTAACACAAGTGAAGTGGTAAACACAGGCTTGATAAATAGTTAAAAGACTATATTCCTTAAATTTGTTTGAAACCGATGCTGTACAAGGAAGGTCTATCATTAGCCTTAAGACCCTCTTTTGCAACAACCAGAGTGATCTTAACACATTAAAATGTGAGCCAAAAGCACTTGAACAAGGAGTCATTTGACTGTAGAAGATGGCATAATAAATTTGATAAAGGACTCTTAAGTGAAAAAATCATCTTACACTGAGTAATAATATAGACTATTCTGGGGAGTTTTCTGGGGGTACTTTTAATATGCTCATACCATCTGAAGTTATTTTGTATAATTATTCCAAGAACTTTTATTGAATCAATTCTGGATAATATATTTTTCCCTTAAAACTTGAAACATTATTTACTTGTTCCCTTGATATAATCATATAATATGATTTACAAATACTTAAAACTAGGCAGTTATTGATAAGATAGGCATCTATTGAAACCAACTAATTGTTTGCTATTTTAAAACAGTCAGCAAGAGAATTAGCCTGTATAGTAAGTAATATCATCAATAAATTGCATGTATCTTTTCAATGTAATGAAATTAAATTATTAACATTAATAAATATGGTCTAAGGATTGAACCTTGAAGAACCCCACAATGGAGACTAAAGAAATGAGACTTTATACCATTACTTGAGGTATAACATTGCCTATTTAGTAAGTACATTTTAAGAATATCATAAATATTACCATGAAGACCATAATGAGCCATTTATAAAGTAAAACTGTGTGATTACTACTATCAAGCACCTTGGCAATATCAAGAGCACAGAATAAATCAGATTTCTTAGCCTCGTAAGTCTTAATAAGTTTTGTAGTAATAGCCAATAAATACTTTTCAGTAGATTTGTGCTTACTGAAACTAAACTGCAAATTACTTAAAATCTTATTTTTCTCAAAACACACAATAATTCTATTGTAAAATATATGCTCAATAATACAAGTGAATGCAGATAAGATGGAAATAAGCCAATAGTTTTCCACATGATCAGGATCCCACTCTTGTAGATAGAAACAATTTTAGCAGTTTGAAGAATCTCGGAAAATTTACCAGTTGTACGTATTTTATTTACAAGTACAGTTAATGTTTCAATAATTGGATCACAAGCAGATTTAACCAGTGATGGTAAAATATCATTCCATCCAGTTGAAGAGTGTGTTTTAGTGGCAGCTTGAATTTCAGTCAGTTACGGGTGCAAGATAAATAGTCTGAACTTAATGTTAGTAGGAGTAACACTTTGCCTAGTAAAATAATCATTAAAAATATTGGCAATACCTTCAGGGTCAGTAACACAAGAACCTGTGTTGTTATAAATAGGTGTTATCTTTGCATTATTTTCTTTAGTCCTACCTAGTTCTTTGTTAATGGTTCGCCATATGTAATGAGTCATTATCCTGAAAACATTTGTTAAAGTACTTAGCTTTACAATCAGCAAGTTCACACTGAACAAGCACCTTAAGTTCTAAATATTTATTGTATGTCAATAGATTACCTGTATCTTTAAAGCAGTGATAGTCTTTGCTTATGTCTAATCAAACATAAAAAAGTTAGGGTCATCCAGGGAGGATATCTGGCATTATTCAATTTAATAATTTCAAGAAATGGAAAACATGATTTATACAGTTTACAATAATGCTTTACAAAAAAAGGTAATAGCTGAATCAACATTTGTTTCTCCAGCTATAATAGAGTACCAATTAACATCACTTAAAACAAGGTTAAAATTTTTCAGTGTGTTACTATTAATAAATATTTTTTGTAATATAATAAACTTTGGTAGAATTACTTATACAGCAAAGGATAATGTTAACACATGATGATCTGAAATATCACAACAGATTACGTCCGGAACTATATCAACAGCCCCTACAACCTTAGTAGGTTAGTAAATACAAGAATGTGCATATACATCAAATTATTAAATTCAAGCACATGGTTCTAATCAGTAAGAGTTTGAGTATACTGAAAAAAAATCACATTAGAATCACCTAAAAATAATAGAGTTGTCTAAATTGACATTATCAACAAGTGATTCCAGTGTATCTATAAAATCATTACATTTACCAGAAGGTGGATGATAAATACAATAAAAAGTATGAAATTCTTCAATAATAAAATTACATAATTCAATATGGTCAGTCATAATAACAGAATTGAAATTAAATTTATACTTTAGGCCAGGACTTGTATTTATAACAATTCCACTACCATGTCCAGTGGGTCTGGTGGTGGAGGCTTTTCTTGACAACACCATGATTAAAAAAATATCAATATATCAGATATAAATTCACACTAAAACAAATTGAGTAATTACCTCATCTATCTTTTGGCTAATACTTCTAATGTTTAAAAATACTAAATTAAGCCTATTTTCCATTATTAATCTCATTAGTAGACTCCTCTTTACCCCGAGTTGTATTATGTTTTGGATGAAAGAAATATCTGAAAATTAAACCTTCCGGCCAAAGTTCAGGAGAAAACAAATTTGTTGCTATTTCAGAAGACCAGTCAAGTTCAACACAAAATGAAGTTGATTTAGTCATTCTTTCAGAAATTAAATGCTCACATTTTTTTACATTGAAATGACTATCTCTTGCCATGGTATTTAGTGCACATCAACCAATAAACAAACTCTTGCTACCACCATAAGCCGATTTCAAAGAACCATCTTTATTGTCTTTTTTAACATCTCAAGTGATAGTAGTCTGGTTTCTTAGTTTCATTCTGCATTGGACTAAAACTAAGTCTCTCTCAGGATCCTCTTTTACATCATCTTCAGAAATAGATCTAACTGGATTCTCAAATCAGCACTATTTCCTCTATTTGTCTGATGCTCAGTTTTAAGTGTAACAGCATAAGTTCTAGAAGTTTTAGGTTTCATAGGATCAACTTCCATGTTAATCTTGTATTCTGGCATCGAAACTACTAATGCATTATGACCATGAACAGCCAATAGTTCTTGCCTACACTCAAGGACTTCATTGCAACATATTTGAACTCGTTCTTAAAACTGATGTTTTCTTTCATAAGAAGTTCCAATTTACTTCAATTCTACTGGCAAATTCTTCCAAAAAAGCAAAACAACTCTTGTCACAATCAATTAATGTTCACACATTGGTAATTAAATCACTTAATTGATCCTCACCTTTAATTTCAGCTTGGGAATTAAATTTCTCAAATTCTTCAATTTTCTTAACATTGAATTCAGCCATATTAAAAAATGATATACTGTAGCCATCTTTAAATTTAGAACATTTCCATTGTTTTTTAAATTCAAACATAATGTTAAAATCTTTGTACATTATATTTACACATTTAATGTGAAACTTTATTTGACACACAAAACAAGAAATAACAGAATTTTCACTCTTGTAAAGCTTACTTGCTGCAACTTTGGAAGAGTAGATTTCACACACGTCACTACAAGACATCATCTCTCAGAAAATTCTTATTTAGCTTGTGATGTGTGATTGTATGTTATTTGTTCCTCTGGAATGACAATATAAGAACTATATGCTCTTAAAGTAAACATTTCTATTCAACTGTTCAGTTTTAAAAGTATCTGAAGTTATATTAAAACAAATTAACTTCAGAAGTAATGTTAACAGATGATTTTTTAAAAGAAATATTCCATAATGAAGCTGTATAAATTTTCCTAAAGCTTTCCAACCTCTTTCTTTCAGCTTGTTAACACAACGTGAAAAAATCCAAAATGAAATATCAAGATATAAGGAATCCATCTGTGGGATCTAACTAGATGTTCATCTGTCCATGAAAGTGATGTTGATGGATTTAGTTTATCAATTTAAGTCTTAAGAATTGATAGATTTTATTTTGAATGTGCTGTTGTTTCCTGTGTAAACAAAGATATAGCAGAATTGCTCTTATACAAAGTTATCTGTAGCTCTGGAATGTACTGCAGTTTTATAAAATACACTTTTATTTTTAAATTAGTGTCAATTTCTTAAATGTTTCATTATTTGGTATGAATATATCTGTTGTGTTTATGATAATTTCTTATTTGATTGTCTCAATTTATTACTAGTTCAAACTACATTAGTATCTGAGGCCCGCACTGGAAATATTAAAATATTTTTTAAATAAGTTTTTTTTTTCATAGATTGTGTGTTAGGAGATTTATGTATCTTATTACTAAAATTCCTTCCAATATATACACAAATATTGGAACAAAATCATTATTTATGAAAATTAAATGTAATTTTGCTCTTAAATTACATTTTCTTTACTCCTTCTTGACAGCAGATGATGTGTTACATTTATAAAAAAAATTATTTTTTTTTCACAACTTTCTTTCAAAGAAAGTTTTTCAATCCTATAATGCCAATATTTTTAAGCTTTCATCATATCCCCATATATTTTGGCCTAGAATAGCTCATTTTCCCTATAAAACAGTATATTAAGATTGGTAATTTCTCTGTGTTCTAATAGTTTTCTAAAATAACGTTCACTATATGAACTTATTGATAAGACTGTACCTTTTATGACACAAATTTCACAAGTTCAAGTTATGAGTAGTTATTATCAATCGGTATAGTAAGTATATTTTTTCTTAAGGCTAGTTATTAGAACATTAAGCAATTTTAAGCTTATGTTCCAAATCTAAGGGCATTAGTCAAAAGGTGCTTGAAGAACAAGAGGAACACATGTATTGACTTCTCATAGGATAAAAGTTTAAATGAAAGATAAATGCAATTTATTCAAACTAATGTAAATTTGTAATGAAAAAATAAGACCATGTTGTCCTAGAGAAGAAAATTGAGTAGGGGCATGCAAAAACAAATCTTACAAGTTTGATTATTTCAGTTATAAAACTGCTTAAAATTACTGTTTCAATTTAAAATGAGTTTGGTCAAAAAACCATCATTTTAAATCTGAAGTTATTTTAAAAGTCATTTGAAGAACTTTATTATAAATTTGAAACTTCATGTGTTTGAAATAACAATACTTCAATCTAAATCTGTACAACATCACAAAATGGCTTAAAAGTACTGAATATCTTGTTGATATTTTAATTTTCTTTTTCTTTCTTTTTTTTACACTTCCCTAACATTGAGGGACAAATTTATGTGCTTACCACAAGATGATGAGTCATAAGAGTTGTAAGCACATCATATTTGTATATAGTTGTTTCTCCAAGAAATGGGAAGAAGACTCGCAGCAAGAATAAAGGAACATAAAGAGAGCACAAGACTCATGAAAACACAAAATTCAGCCATTGCAGAACATGGCATGTCAACTGGACACAACATAAATTGAGAAAAGCTAGAATCAGCGACACAGACAAATTTTGGAAAACAAGAAAAATTAAAGAATCATTTACATTAACACATTAAAACCTTCACTAAACAGAGATTCAGGATTAGAGGTGAGTAAACTGTGGCTACCATTGGTTGAGGCTACAGGAAGTCTCTCCTCCATTCAGAAACATGTTTTAACCAACCAATCATTACACGCTCTCCACAATCCACTACAACACTATAAAGACCAAACTACACCACACACATACTAACCTG